GTCACCTTTTTTTTTTGGTCTTTTTTGAGACAGGGTCTCCCTGTAGCCCCAGCTGTCCTGGAACTCACTATGTAGACCAGGCTTGGCCTTAAACTCACAGAGATCCACCTGCCTCTGCCTCCCTAGTGCTGGGATTAAAAGTGTGTGCCACCATGCCTGGCTGGTCACCTTTTTTTTTTTTGAGATAGTGTTTCACTATGTAGATAAGGCTGGCCTGGGAGTCACTGGGATTTGCCTGCCTCTGCCTTGTGAGTGCTAGAATCAAAGGGACATCACACCTGACTTCATCTGGCCTTTAAATATCCCCTCTTGTAGAGCCCAGCATTTCCATTTACTCTGAACTTACTCAAACTGAGGCTTCACCTAAGGCTAAGGGCTAACCCCCACCCCAAGTAATTGGCCAGACTATGACCTCTGAGTGATAGGACTGGTCCCATTATCTCCCACATCAGACTGTGAACCCTGAGGCCCACAACTAGGCCTGGTGCCTATGTCTCCCACACAGACGTTGTGGTCTTTGAACACAGAGAACAAGTCTGGTTTCTCTGCTCCAGCACATTCTGACCCTTAGGCTTGGAAAGAAACTTCTAGCTTACCTGTGGCCCCGTATTTCCCATTCCACAGCCTCCCAATATCACTGCAGGCCACACCAGCCACCCCAGCTACACTCTCTGCATCGTCTTCTGCAGGGGGCTCCAGGACCCCTGCCATGTCCTCATCATCTTCCTCTCGGGTCTTGCTGCGGCAGCAGCTCATGCGGGCCCAGGCGCAGGAGCAGGAGAGGCGTGAGCGTCGGGAACAGGCTGCAGCTGCTCCTTTCCCCGGTCCTGCACCTGCCTCACCGGCCATCTCTGTGGTCGGAGTCTCTGCTGGTGGCCACACATTGGGTCGCCCACCCCCTGCTCAGGTGCCCAGGGAGGTCCTCAAGGTAAGGACAGATCCAGAAGCTCTGGGAATCAGTTTCAGTGACTGAGAAGTGGTCTTAGAAGCAGGGTGACCTTTTGGACAAGGTCCAGGTGGCCATAAGGAGGAAGGTCCATGGTAGTGTTTAAACGGTCTGTGCTTGTGTCCCATGTGTTTATGGTTTATTAGGTATTCTTGTGGACTTGTTGGGAAAGTGTTTTTGCCATTGGAATGTATGTAGTTCCTGGTTCTGTTGGGTGATGGTAGAGACTTAGCAGGGAGCCCTGGGGATGGTGACAGGGTGATATAGAAACTGAGATCTTTTTGGCCCTGGGTGAAAATCTTAGGGGTTCTAAAGGATTTCTGAGAAAAAACTTTGTGTTATTGGGGGCATTTACCAATATTTTCGAGGGGTTCTCAGAGTCTATTTGCCCTCCTGAGCCTAGAAATAGTTGAGTTACGGGTCAGGCTGGGGTTTGGAGTCTCTCCTCTGAGCCTTGTTCTGCCTTCTCCCCTTCCCTCCTGTCTACCTCACAGGTTCAGACCCACCTGGAGAACCCTACACGCTACCACCTTCAGCAAGCTCGTCGGCAGCAGGTGAAACAGTACTTGTCTACCACACTTGGGCCCAAGCTGGCTTCCCAGGCCCTCACCCCACCACCAGGGCCCACCAGTGCCCAGCCACTTCCTGCCCCTGAAACTGCCCATGCCACTGGCCCCACAGGCAGTGCTCCTAACAGCCCCATGGCACTGCTCACCATTGGGTCCAGCTCAGAAAAGGAGGTAAGAGGTTATAGACAACTTTCCCAAGCCCTGTTACCAATTTTAAAAATTTTTATTTTGTTTGTATGTGTGTGAATGCCTGTGGTGTTGGGAATAGAACCCATGGCCTTATATACCCTAGGCCAGCATTCTACCAATAAGCTATTCCTCACCCCTACCCCAGCCTCCCCTTCTAATTCTTCTAACCATGTACAGTATTTACTTCTTCCCTCAGATTGATGATGTCATTGATGAGATCATCAGCCTAGAGTCCAGTTACAACGATGAGATGCTCAGCTATCTGCCTGGAGGCACTGCAGGGCTGCAGCTCCCCAGCACGGTGAGGCCCTAAGATAGGAGGTGGTCTGAAAATTATGGCATTCTTCTCCCATTAAGACCACATCCATGCTGGCTGTGTGTAATGAGAGACCTTTGCTGTGTATGGTACTAAGAGAGAGGGTGTATGTTGAGAATGGCTCTCAACATTCACCACTGCCCTTGGGCCTTTGTTGGACTGCAATAGAAAGGTGGTCCTGGAAGAATTATACATGGACAGCATAGGGAGTTCAAAGACATTAGGGAAAACCTTGGCACTTAGCTGTGTTCTGGCAAGTACCAAGAGGTGGGAATCAGAATCATGTCATTGTTTGAGTGTCCCAAGGGATTCAGGTCATTGAGAAAGTCCCAGACCATGTAGTAATTGGAACCAAAAGGCTTGGTTATAACAAATAGTAAGACCTTGTAGTGGTTGGAATGTACCAGGTCTTGCAATGACGTGGGCTAAAATGCTGGGTTCTTGTAGAGAATGGGTCAAACTTTCCAAAACAAATGATGTGCCATTATAGCATTCTGGTTCTGCAACAGTCTAAGAATCTCATACTTTGGCATATACCAAGTAATTAGAGATTTTTCCCACTTATCAAAATGGTAGAAACCTTGTATAAAAATGGTACTGGGGATGTAGCTGAATGGTAGAGTGCTTGCCTAGTATGTGAGGTCCTAGGTTCCACCCCAGCACCACACAAAAAAGTTCCACTGTATCAAAACTTTGCATTGGTTTGAGCACAACTAAAGGTTAAGAGACAGATCTGGGGGCTGGAGAGATGGCTCGGTAGTTAAGGACACTGGCTGATCATGGAGAGGACTGGGTTCCATTCCCAGCACCCACATGGTAGCTAACAACCGTTCATAACTTCAGTTCCAGGGGAATCTGATGCCCTCTTCTGACCTCCACAGGCATTGCATGACATAGGTATATTTACAAACATGCAGGCAATACACTCATACATATAAAATAAGAATAATAATTTTAAAAAGAGACAGATCTGAAAGACTAGAGGGAATTTCAGCGCATGACAACTCATTAAGAGGTAGGATTGGAATATACATTTCATTTTATTTTTTCATTTTATGTGTATGAGTGTAATGCCTGCATGTAGTAGATGTCTTACAGTGCCTACAAAGATCAGAAGAGGTCGTTGGATGCCCTGGAACTGGAGTTGTTAGCCACCATGTGGGTACTGAGAATTGAACTCAGGTTCCTCTGCAAGAGCAGTCAGTGCTCTTAACTGATGAGCCAACCCCTGGAGTGTACTTTTTTTTAATTTTTATTTTATGTGTAAGAGTGTATTGCCTGCATGTATGTGAATACACCCATGTCGTGCAGTGCCGCGGAAGTCAGAAGAGGGCTTTGGATTCCCCTGGAACTGGAGTTAAGGATGGTTCATAGTCGCCATGTGGATGCTGGGAATCAAACCTGGGTCCTCTGAAAGAGCAGTCAGTGCTCTTAACCGCTGAGCCATCTCTCTAGTTCTTGAGTATACTTTTTTTTTTTTGGTCTTTTTGAGACAGAGTCTCCCTGTAGCCGCAGCTGGCCTGGATTTGCTATGGAGACCAGGCTGGCCTTGAACTCACAGAGATCCACCTGCCCCTGCCTCCCGAGGGCTGGGATTAAAGGCAGTGCTGGGATTATAGGTGTGTCCCTATAGCCCCAGCTGGCCTGGAACTTGCTATGTAGACCCAGCTGGCCTTGAACTCACCTACCTCCCAGGTGTTGGGATTAAAGGCACACACCACCATGCCCAGCCAAATTTTTATTTTTTTTATGTGTATGAATGTTTTGCCTGCATGTAAGTTGTGCAATGCCCTCAGAGGTCAGAAGAGGGCATCGGATTTCCTGGAACTGGAGTTATAGATAGTTATTACCTGCCATGTTGGTGCTGGGAACCAAACCCAGGTCCTCTGCAAGAGCAGCCAGTGCTCTTAATTGCTGAGCCATCTCTCCAGCTCCCTGGAGTGTACTTCTGTATCAGTGTGTTGCACTAGAATGTATCAAGGGTAGTGTGAGAGGAAGAAAACAAAAGTAGGCTGCCATGCAATTAGTGGTGGTTGTGGAATAGTTAGACGAGAAATCCCGAGCGATCAAATGTGCAGGAAAACACAGTCAGGGACTTGGTAAATGCCAGCAGGAGAACGTGATTGCTAAGGAGGTACAACTTGCCTATAGTTAAGGCTGGGGATTAGGTTGGAACTCTAAAAGGCCAGATTTTGGATGGCATGTTGCCGTGATAATTTACCAGGGTCTGAAAAAATGAGGTTGGGGGTTCCAAGAATGCTGGATCAACATCAGAGTTGACAGGAACCTGAGAACTGCAATTTTCTAGCATTTTTTTCCCTCAGAGCCAGCCCTGGAGTTAGAGAGGAGGGGCCACTGAGGGATTTGAGGTAGGGTGATAGGCAGTGGGGGTGATAGGCATGCCAGGTAGGCACCAGTCCCCATAAACCAGGGAAGGTTCACTTGTTCTACCTCTGCTGTTGAGTTCCCATGTGAAATTTCTATGAAGTAGAAGGAAGGATCCCCCGTTGCATTAGAGGGCCCTGTCTGAGCTATGTGGGAGTCAGGAGCCTGAGTCTAAGGAGGCTGTCCTATGCCTTCGCTGCCCACAGCTACCTGTGTCAGGGAATCTGCTTGATGTGTACAGCAGTCAGGGAGTGGCCACACCAGCCATCACTGTCAGCAACTCCTGTCCCGCTGAGCTGCCTAATATCAAACGGGAGATATCTGGTAAGTGCCAGGGCTTGGTCCCATGTCCCACCCTGTCCCTTGAGCTGATCCCTGTTCTTGCCAGGTCTGAAACCAGACCTAAGTTTAGAGAAAGGGTTTGACCATCACAGAAATAGGTTGAAGCTGGGGTTTGGAGTATAGCTTAGCATATATCCTCAGCGCCACAAAATAATGAAACAAACAGGCTATTTTCTCCATAAAAAAGGCACATTTTATTATTTTTTTGAGACAAGGTCTCACTCTGTAAACTAGTCTGACCTCAAACTCCCAGCAGTCCTTCTGCTTCAGCCTCCTAAGTGCTGGAATATCAGGCTTGTGCCAACATGCCCTGCTCTGGAACTCCCTCTGTAGCTCAGGCTGGCATTGAACTTGGGGTGATCCTGCTGCCTGAAATGCTGGGATTGTAAGCATGAGGTACCACCCTGGCTCAAGACACCTTTTAAAAACAGCAGATATGGTGGTGCACACCTGTAATCCCAGCATTTGGAAGGTTAAAGTAGATGGATTGTGATCAAGGCCAGCTTGGGCTACATACTGAGACCCTGTCTAAAAAAAAAAGTCATGCTAAGTCTGGCTCTGTGGCAACAACTTGTAGTTGCAATCGATTGGGAGTCTGAGAAGGGAGAGTGGCTTGAGTTCAGGAGTTTGAAACCAGCCTGGACAACACAGCAAGACCGACCCCCATCTCTTAAAAAAAAAAGTCATAGCTCTCACCAGCCCCTACCTCTGCACCTGCAGGGCCTCTCTTTTCCATGCCCAGAGCCCTGACATCACCCCCACTCTCTTCCAGAGACCGAGGCAAAGGCTCTTTTGAAGGAACGGCAGAAGAAAGACAATCACAACCTAAGTAAGCCTGAGAGCAGGTTCACTCACCCACCTGCTGCACAGCCCTGCTGTGCTCCTTGCTGTGAGGGCCTGCTTCCTTGGGGAGCCCCCCTAGCACCCCTGTTCTTCTCCCTTCACCCATTGATGACTCTTTCTTACTCTTTGTCTTCCCCTTTCTTAAGTTGAACGACGCAGGCGATTCAACATTAACGATAGGATCAAAGAGCTGGGCACCCTCATCCCCAAGTCCAATGATCCGTGAGTCTGGGCTGGGGACCCCAGGCCAATGGGAGGTGGAGCAGGCACACTGGACTGGGGAAGTTTTTCCTTAGTGGGTCTGCCCTGTAGTCTTGACCAGGCAAGAGTTCTCTGAGCCAGATATAATGGCTCATGCCTATAATCCCAGCACTGGGGAGGCCGAGGCAGGATTGCCATGAGTTCAAGGCCAGCCTCAGCTATAAAATGAGTTCCAGGCTAGACTGGGCTACAGAGTAAGACTCTGTCTCAAAAAAAACCCTCAAAAAAAAGTTCTTCTCTGGTCTTTTCTTATCTGGAGGGTTATGGACTCCATCTAAGTGTACAGTGTTCCAGTTTGTCCCTTCTGTACTCTGTAGGATATAAGCACAAAATTTTCTATTCATTTAGTACTTCCTTTATGTAGTCAAGATTTATTTAGTGAGGCTCTACTTTGTTCCAGTTAACTATGATAGGCTCTGAGGATACCAAAGAGAACAAAAGAGACACATATCCTTGTCCTTATGGACCTGATGCTTTAGTGAGGCAAGCAGACAGTTAAGACAAACAAGTAAAATCCATGTGATCCATTCTAATGTGGAAAATAATAAACAGAAGGAAGCTGGCATGGCGGTATATGCTGGGATGCACTCAAGAGCCTGAGGCAGGAGAGCCACAGTTTCAGGCCAGTCTCAAAACAACAAAAAGAACAGGAGGAAGATGTGAGGATGTTGGGGATGGTGACAATTTGCATGAGGAGGATAGGACTGAGCAGACCTCACAAGGGACCACTTGAATAAAGAGCCTAATGATGTATGTAGCTCAGCAGTAGAGTGCTTGCCTAGCATATACAAGGTCCTGGGTTCTGTCATCAGCACCAAGAACAGAGGGGGGCAAGACCCTGAGAAGGCCACATGGGTGTCTGAACAAACAGTATTCTAGGCATGGGATGTACCCATGGGGTGTATAGGCCCTGAGGTGAGAATAGTTTTCCATGTTCTAGAAACACTGAGAGGTCTCCCTGGCTGTAGTGAGATTAAGAGCCAGAGGGGTGGGGTCATAAGAGGGCTTCCAGGTCAGAATGGGAGGGGTCATAAGAGGGCTTCCAGGTTTGGGGATGTCATGGTCACCATTGAAAAGTTGCAAGCATAGGAGTTGTTATGAGCATTCCATACATTTGATATGCCCCCACTTCAAGTTCTGGCATGTGGTTGGGTGTTCTGTCTATGTGGTACAATCCCCCATAGCTCCTGAGACACTCTATATGCAGCGTTGGTCTTTTCTCCCCTTGGGCCTCATAGGGAAATGCGCTGGAACAAGGGCACCATCCTAAAGGCGTCTGTGGATTACATCCGCAAGTTACAGAAGGAACAGCAGCGCTCCAAAGACCTGGAGAGCCGTCAGCGATCCCTGGAGCAAGCCAACCGTAGCTTGCAGCTCCGAATTCAGGTTTGGAAAGAGGCAGTGACAAGGGTGATGTTGTACCATTTTACAGATTGGGACTCTGGGGCTCAGAGACTTTAAGGCATTTGCATGAAGTTTTGAAACTAGTGAGAGGCAGAGGTTAAATTGGAACTTAACTGCCTGCCCCTTTGATGAGTACATTTCTCTGCTTATGAGGGACTTTGAACCCCATCTTATTTTGCACCAACCCCTTCCTTGTGGCAGGAGCTAGAACTGCAGGCCCAGATCCATGGTCTGCCAGTACCTCCCACTCCAGGACTGCTCTCCTTGGCTACAACTTCGGCCTCTGACAGCCTCAAGCCAGAGCAGCTAGACATTGAGGAGGACGGCAGACCCAGCACATTTCATGCAGCAGGGGGACCTGCCCAGAATGCGCCTCAGCAGCAGCCCCCAGCACCACCCTCAGATGCCCTTCTGGACCTACACTTTCCCAGTGACCACCTGGGGGACCTGGGGGACCCCTTCCACTTGGGGCTGGAGGACATTCTGATGGAGGAGGAGGAAGGGGTGGTGGGAGGGCTGTCGGTGGGTGCCCTGTCCCCGCTTCGAGCTGCCTCTGACCCCCTGCTTTCTTCAGTATCCCCGGCTGTCTCCAAGGCCAGCAGCCGCCGCAGCAGCTTCAGCATGGAGGAGGAGTCCTGAGCAGGCTTCACCTCTCCCTTGGGACTTCCCACACTCCCATGAGACTGCCCTAAGAATTCTGGGGGGAAAAGGAATTGCAGTCAGGTCCTACCCCCATAGTAGGCAAAGAGGAGGAATCAGGTGAAGCCCCACCCCTTTTCCAAGGGAGCGGCCAGGCGAAGGTATGTCCGAGGCAGGAGAGAGCTGTGAAATCTCAGTTCATCCCCTGAGGAACACAGCCTTGCCCCTGCCCCCTGGGCCTATCTTTGCCTAGGTGAGGGAAGGAGGTAGAATGAAGTCATACCTCTGGACCCCAAGGACCTTCCTAAACAGGTCTCTTAAGAAAAGGAGATGCCAGGATACTGCTCCATTCCTCCTCTGGGAATTGTCGGTCTAGCCTCTCCTGGCACCAGAAGAAAAGTGAAAATGATGAAGGTCTCACTCCAGGAGGTTTAAGCCCTACTCTTTCCTCATGACCTCTGCCTTGCCCTGGCAAGGCACGGATGGATGTTATTCAACCCCTTCCCCAGGGAACCACCCCTTCCCTGTAGGAAGAGCCCAGCACAGTCATTTCAGGCATGGAAGAATCATTTAGCTCTGAGCTCCCACATGGAGGACAGAGCCCCACCCATGGCCCATAACAGCATTCCACTGAGCAGGGAGGAGCAGTACCTGAACTCCCCATCTTAACCTGGGACCAACCTGGAACTTGGTCTAGGAGGGCTCTGAGCAGCCCTTGTTCTTGGGGAAGGGAGCAGATCTTGAAATCTTGTGGATTGACTTTCCAGCCCTAAGTCAGGAGGGAGACGTAGACCCTCACTCTTGGGAAGATCTCGCCTTTTCTTTCTCGAAGGCCAGGTTGGGGAGCTGATAGGGATTAGTGGGGACCCAGTCTAGCTGCCCAAAACTTTACTACTCCTAATACTTTTCTCCCACTTATAGAAAATAGTTTTAAAGAAAGGGGGACATGCAGGCTATTTCCTAGCCCAGGAAAAAGAAGTCTCCCTTCTAAAGCAGGGGCTTAGAGGCAAGGTGGCAAGAGTATATTGTACCCCCTCATTTGTTTATGTGATTTTTTTCTTATCGACCCCCCTGCCCCCAGAAGCTCGGTCAACCCTGACCTCTGCCCCCACCTCCATTTGGACGATTCCCTCTATTTCATTTACAAGAGCCAGTCTCCACCCATCCCCACTCTTCCTACCACCTACACCCAAGGTCTTCAGCTTTAGATTGCTGGGGCCAGGCCCCAAGGAGGGTGTACTGAGGGGTCTGTAGGTTGTGACTAAAATAATAAATGCTAGGCGTGTTTGATGCGCTTTTAACTTTGGCAATGAGTCTCCTTGTCTTTGTGCAGTAAACATGGCCCCTGCAGGCTAGGAGGGATACAAGTTCTATAAGAAACAGATTTCAGAGGCTAAACAGGATTTCAATAGATTGAGAGTCTGGAAGAAACCTACCTGCAAACAAAAGGAAATCTGTCTCTCTTTTTGTTGGTTTTTTTTTTTTTTTTTTTTTTTTTTTTTTTTTTGAAAGGGGTTCCCCTTTGCCCCCCCGGTCCCCTGACCCCCTCGCAAATTTTGGTTCTTTTGAGACAGGGTCTCCCTGTAGCTCCAGCTGGCCTGGAACTCGCTAGATAGACCAGGTTGGCCTTGAACTCGCAGAGATCTGCTTGCCTCTGCCTCCCAACTGCTGGGAATAAAGGAATAAAGATGTGCACCACTATGCCTGGCTGCCAGACTTTGTCTTAAAACAATGGGCAGACAAGATGGCTTAGTGGGTAAAGGCACTTGCCACCAAGACTGATAAACCTGATTTCTATCCCTGGAACCCATATAAAGGTGGAAGGAGAGAATCAACTCCACAGAGTTGTCCTCTGACTGCCATGCTGTGACATGCATGTCCACATACATATACAGTAATAAAACAACAAAAAGCGTTGCAGACTGGGTGAAATGGCACACACCTGTGATCCCAGTACCTGGGAGGTGGAGGCAACAAATCAGAAGTTCAAGGCCGTTCTCTACTAACATACCAAATTCAAAGCCAGTCTGGGCTACATAAGACCCCGTCTCAAAAACAATAGTGATAATTATAAAAATAAAGAACAAGGCTGGGCCTGGTGACACGTTTTTAATTCCCGTACTCAGAAAGCAAAAGAAAGATCTCTGAGTTCCAGGCTAGTCTGAACTACATAGCCAGTCCAGGCTAGCCTGACATTCATAGCAAGTTCTAGGCCAGCCAGGGCTACATAGTGAAACCCTGTTTCAAAAACATAAAAAAGTAAATAACAAGCTCTGAGGATGTAGCATAGTTGGTAGAGTGCTTATCTAGCATGCATGAAGCCCATGGTTGGATCCCTAGTATTGAAAAATCCATACTATAGTGTACACCTGTAATCTTAGCACTTGGGAGGCTGACACAGGACAATTATGAGTTTGAAGGAGCCTGTGCTATATAATTGTCATACCACAGATGGTATTGATGGGCTGGTGACACAGGCTGTCAATGAATTCTCCAAAGATGAAGGCGAAGTTTATTAGATAGCACTGGTACACCTGTAGCAGGCAAGATAGTACAGAGAAACTTCCCTGAGGCATTCTAAGAGGCTGCCTTTATTTATGGGGGATTTCAATGTCATATGGTCCTCTTGTTTCTTTTTATTTTTTTAATTTTTAAAAAATATTTTTATTTTATGTGTATGCATGTATCACCTGCATATAGGTAAGTGCACCTATGTCATCCAATGCCCGAGGAGGACAGAAGAGGCTATCAGATCCTCTGGAACTGCAGTTAAGGACAGCTGTTAGCTGCCATGTGGGTGCTGGGATTCAAACCCAGGTCTTCTGCAAGAACAGTCAGTGTTCTTAACCACTGAGCCATCTCTCCATCCCCTGATTTTTTCAATTTTTTTTTGTCCTTTTGATACAGGGTCTCCCTGTAGCCCCAGCTGGCCTGGAACTCACTATGTAGACCAGGCTGGCCTTGAACTCAGAGACCCACTCGTATCTGCCTCTCGAGTGCTGGGATTAAAGGCGTGCACCACCACTCCCAGCTGGTCCCCTTGTTTCTTTCTTTTTTTTTAATATTTAATTTATTATTTTTATTTTATGTGTATTAGTGTTATGCCTGCAGGTAGGTAAGTGCACCTGAGTCGTGCCATGCCCCAGGAGGACAGAAGAGGCTGCCAGATCCCCTGGAACTGGAGTTATAGACAGTTGTTAGCTGCAATGGGGGTGCTGGGATTTGAACCCGGGTCTTCTGCAAGAACAGTCACTGTTCTTAACTGCTAAGCCTCCCTTGTTTCTTATCCAGGGCATTGCCTCTATGGTTTGATTGGGGAGGGGTGGTGGACTGGGAATCTGTGTAAAATGGCGTGGGCTGCTAGGAATCAGAGTATAACTCCAAAGATTTAAAGGTCCTGCTTGGAGGCAGCAGGGCCCTTGCTGTGATCCCAGCCTGCTCTGAGGCAAAAGTAGCCTTGTCTGTGCCAGACTGGCATCCACAGCAGAGTTCTAGTTAGCTTAGGCTATCTAGTTAAATCATCTCTCAAACCCAGCCTTCAGTAAAAAGCTACATGTTGCTGAGTGTATAGCTAAGTTAGTGTGTTTCTCTGGCATTCACAAAGCCTTGAGTTCAATTCCTTAATAAAACCAAGTGATGTGGGGCTCAGCAGTTAAGAGCATTGGCTGCTCTTGCAGAGGACCTGGGTCTGGTTCCCAGTACCCACATGATGACAACCTTAACTCCAGTTCCAGCGGCTCTAACTCCCTCTTCTGGCCTCTGCATGCATTGCATGACATTGGTGTACTTACAAGCACACAAAGCATTCATACATAAAATTAAACATTAAAATAACGCCGGGCATGGTGGCGCACGCCTTTAATCCCAGCACTCGAGAGGCAGAGGCAAGATGGCTCAGCTGGTAAAGGGGCTTACCATCAAACTGGAGCACCAGAGTTTAATCCCTAGGACCCATATGGTAAAGAGAACCAAATCCTTAAATGCACACACACACACACACACACACACACACACACACACACACACTAGATAGATACACCCTGCCTCCCACACGTATACACACACACACACACACACACACACACACACACACACACACACACACACACACACACACACACACTAGATAGATACAGATAGATAGATGATAGATAGAGAGAGAGAGAGAGAGAGAGATAAACATTTTAAAATTCAGTATCCAGCTACTAAAAATAGTTGTTGTTGAACCTGTTGATGCACAACTTTAATCGTAGCACTCGGGAAGCAGAAGCAGGTGGATCTCTGTAAGTTCAAGGCCAGTCTAGTCTACATAACAAGTTCCAGATCATCCAGAGCTACATAGTGAAACCCTGTTTCAAAAAAAACCCCAAAATCATATTTCTAACAAAATTGGACAAAATTACTATCAAATTAGTGCTAACTGAAGAATTTTCTTTAAATTATGAGGGAAAAGCCCTGTTTGGAGGAAGCTGAGGACAGATGGACCAGGAGTTTAAAGCCAGCCTGGGTTACACGTTGAGTTGCAGCCAGCATGGACTGCACATTGAGGTTGAGGTCAGCCTGGGCTATAGGAGGCCCTGTCTCAAAAATACAAAATAGATTGAAAAAAAAAGAAAGCTTAAAAATTAGCGAAGTGTGCCGATATTGCCTGTAACTGCAACACTTGGAGGTAGAGGCAAGATCAGGAGTCATCCTCAGATCTGTAATGAGTTTGAAGTCTAGTCTCTGATATATGAGACCCTGTCTCAGAAAATTAAATCAATAAATCAAATAAAAATGTGGTGTCCGCAAGCCTTTAATCCCAGCACTCAGGAGCCAGAGGTAGGCCTGGTTTACATAGCAAGTTCCAGATCAGCCAGGGCTTTGTAGTGAGACCCTGTCTCAAAAAACAGAAAAATATTCTAATAGTTTAAGAGATGATGCCGGGCGTGGTGGCACATGCCTTTAATCCCAGCACCCAGGAGGAGGCAGAGGCAGGCGGATCTGTGTGAGTTCAAGCCAGCCTGGTCTACATAGTGAGTTCCAGGCCAGCTGGGGCTACAGGGAGACCCTGTCTCAAAAAGACAAAAAAAAAAAAAAAAAAGAGATGATGCTTTATGGAAGGCAATAAATTGGAGACAAATATATGAGGGAATATTCTTTGAGTGATTTTAGATGTTAAATGGATATTTTTGTTTAATTTTTTATTGGGGGGGTGCCCAAGGAGGCCAGAAGAGGGGATCAGATCCCCTGGGACTGGAGAATCAGATGGTTGTGAACTAACAGTTTGACTTGGGTGCTACTCTGGAAGAGGGGCAAGCCCTCTTAACTGCTGAATCTCTCCAACCTGTTGTTTTCTTGTTGGATTTTTAAAAAATTGAGGCAGTATCTTTTTTTTATGTGTATGCATGTATTGCCTGCATGTAGGTAAGTGCACCTGTGTCGTGCAATGCCTGAGGAGGACAGAAGAGGCTCTCGGATCCCCTGGAACTGGAGTTATGGACAGTTGTTAGCTGCCATGTGGGTGCTGGGATTCAACCCGGGTCTTCTGCAAGAACAGGCAGTGTTCTTAACCACTGACCCATCTTTCCAGCCCCATTGAAGCAGTATCTTAAAGATTTATTTTTATTTTATGTGTACGAATGTTTTGCCTATGTGTATAAGTAAACTGTGTGTGTGTGCAGTGCCAACAGAGGCCAGAAGAGGGAGTCAGAGCCCCTGGAACTGGAGTTATGTACAGTTGTTAGCCACCATATGGGTGCTAGGAACTGAACCCAGGTCCTCTGCAAGATCAGCCAGTGCTCTTTACTGCTGAGCCATCTCTCTTGCCTTGTTTTTTTATTTTGTCTTTTCTTTTTTTGTGAGATGAGGGTCTCCCTGTAGCCCCAGCTGGCCTGGAACTCATTATGTAGACCAGAATGGCCTTGAATTTACAGAGACCCACCTGCCTCTGCCTCCCAAGTGCTGGGACTAAAAGCATGAGCTACCTTGCCCAGCTTGTTTATTTTTTTTAAAAAAAGAAGGGTCTCATTATAGCCGAAGTGGGCTTACAACTATGGATCCTTTGCCTCTAGAGTATTGGAATTTTACATACTTGGTCTCACATACCACTTCAAGACTGGGGAAAAATATCTTCCTTTCCTTCCTTCCCTTCCTTCCTTCCCTTCCTTCCTTCCTTCCCTTCCTTCCCCCTTCCTTCCTTCCCTCCTTCCCTCCCTTCCTTCCCTCCTTCCCTTCCTTCCCTCCTTCCCTTCCTTCCCTCCTTTCCTTCCTTCCCTCCTTCCTTCGTTCCCTCCTTCAGTTGTTCTTTCCTTCCTTCCTTCCTTCCTTC